GTGTTACCACCGCTGCCGGAAAAGAAGGTTCTCTACGCTTGGCAGAAAGTGACGACTGACACGTTCGATCCCGACTTCGTTGATCGCAGAAGAGCTGGACTCGAGGTACGTTTCCGATTTGCAATTATAACAGGTATATATTGACGGCAGGGAGCTGATGCCGAGGAGATCAATCCCGTTTACGCGCGAAGGAATTATCGTAAGTTATTTTATTATCGGTTCAACTTATTTTTTATTCTTTTTTAAGACAATTACCCGAAGGTGTCCAATGGGACTTTGATGTCGAGAATTGGCTAAATCCGTACCAAGTGTCACACTATGCGATGGACATCTTTGAGTATCTGAAAGAACGAGAACGCCTATTCCCCATCGGCAATTACATGGATCGGCAAGTATGCCTCTCGCCATGGCGAGGGGCGAGGGAATGGATGAGAGCGCTACTGGTCGATTGGATGGTCGAGGTGCAGGAGTCGTTTGAGTTGAATCACGAGACCTTATATCTGGCTGTAAAACTGGTCGATCTATACCTAACAAAGATGACAGTCGGGAAAGAGACTCTACAACTGCTGGGCGCTGCGAGTCTTTTCATAGCGAGCAAGTTTGACGTAAGTTTTATATAATAATATCTCTGCTACACAAATTTTTGCCTGATAAAATTGTGCTCATGTCGAGCAGTAAACCCAATAACAAAAACTTATTTTATTCTTAACTTTAACTTTAGGAAAGAATACCACTAATGGTGGAAGATTTGTATATATGTGACAGCGCTTACACAAAAAGGGAGCTGATCAAAATGGAAATAAATATTTTAAAAATAGTCAATTTTGACCTAGGAATACCTCTCTCTTACAGATTTCTTTGGCATTATGCCAGGGTAAGATATTCACAAAGTTAACAATTTATATCGGGTATCCAAGTAATTATTCTGTCCCAGGATTTAAATGAATTTTACATTATTTCTTCTATGAAATAATAATTTTTCAAAATTCTCCAATAAAATATCCGTCTTATTCAAATGGAATTTATATAAACGTATACTAATTCATCACTACTATCTGAAAATAGTGTGCCAAGATGTCTATGCCCACGTCAACTCTGGCTCGGTACATACTGGAACATTCTCTGATGGATTATACAATGATCAGGTTTAGCGATAGTAAAATGGCAGCGGCGGCGTTGTTACTCGTGTTGCTAATGAAGGACTTGGGAGGATGGAATCCAACATTAGAATACTATAGCGGTTATAAACTTAACGACATAAGAGATATTTGCAATCTTTTAAACCAGAGCTTGCATAGGAAACACGAAGAAGCATTAAAGACTGTCCACAGCAAGTACAGCCACAAGTAAGTATTTTATATATTGAACATGTTACACTTTATATATATATATATATATATATATATTATACACGTTATAATTTATATATACATATATTGAAACATATTTTCGTGAATAACCAATGTTTATTCAATTTTATTTGTATTCTAGGATTTTCTTTGAAGTAGCAAAGCTGCCCCTAAAAGAGACTTTAGACATATAAATAGAAAGAGTACTGAAGTAACTTGTAAGTCAAAAAAAGTGCTCCAAATTCAATATATAAATACAGGCAGATGAATCATCTTGATAACAAGGCATTAGAAATTAAGACTAGTCGCGTATCGAATTGTTGGACAACCTAGACATTAGTTAAGTGATTGTTAGCATGCGAATAGCGGCGCTATTCTCTAAATTGTATAATGCGTGAAACAAAGGCGTAAAAAACGTAAAAAATCTCGAATGCATGTCAAAAAGTTTTGTCGCGAAATGTTCCTGAGGTAACGAAATTCATCTACATATACGGTAAAAAACGGTACGTTTTTGTGAATACAGTATTTCCTTTTATTCTACTATTGTTCGTACATAACTCCATCTCCAATGATCTCTGTCGTTATCACGGAACAATTGTTGCAAATCGCGTATAATGTTTCTACCTACTTTTAGAGAAGGAAGAAATAGACTTTATAAAGAAAAGAAGGGAGAGTTATTTAATGAAGAAAAAGATATGAAAAGTTTATTCCTTTTAATTGCATTATAACTTACATGCATTCCATGAGCGTCGGGGAAGAAGTAGAGGTACAGATATATATGCTCTTGCGGTTTGAGCGTAAAATACGTAGAATTAGTATATTATTGTTAGAAACATCCTAAAGTGAGATAGAAAGACAATTTATGTCTATTATTGTATAATTATTGTCGATGACAGCTTACACTTGAGTGCTGTTATTTTTACCTCGATATGCATCGAACACCAATCGATTTCGCTTATAATAAAAAATCTTCCCTTGCCACTGACATTTTTATTTATCCTATCGCTAACTTATATATTTAAAAAGAACTTAAAATTAATTTCTTGTACGCGTAGATATATATATATTAAACTCTTAACACGTTCGCTTTCGTACACCAATCAACGTCATCGTAGAAAAAAAAGTAGTAGGTATCGACGGTCATGAAAAAAACTATGATCTTGTGATCGACGGTCGCGAGACCAGTGATCTCGCGATCGACGGTCCTGAGAACTATGATCTCGAGACCGACGGTCGCGATACCAGTGATCTCGCGATCGACGGTCCTGAGAATTATGATCTCGTGATCGACGGTCGCGAGACCAGTGATCTCGCGATCGCCGGTCCTGAGAACTATGATCTCGTGAGCGACGGTCGCGAGACCAGTGATCTCGCGATCGACGGTACTGAGAATTATGATCTCGTGATCGACGGTCGCGAGACCAGTGATCTCGCGATCGCCGGTCCTGAGAACTATGATCTCGTGAGCGACGGTCGCGAGACCAGTGATCTCGCGATCGCCGGTCCTGAGAACTATGATCTCGTGATCGACGGTCGCGAGGCAAGTGATCTCGCGATCGACTGTCCTGATCCTGAATTGGCGATCGACGGTCCTGATCCTGAATTGGCGATCGACGGTCCTGATCCTGAATTGGCGATCGACGGTTCTGATCCTGAATTGGCAATCGACGGTCCTGATCCTGATCCTGAATTGGCGATCGACGGTCCTGATTCTGAATTGGCGAATTTATTCCGACATCTATTTCTGCTGATTGTCGTTCCGGGGGAGGGGTTATCACTGGGGATTGAAATTTTTGCCCCAAAATTATATCTTCATCTTCTTCATATCTAGAACAAAAAAATATTAAAATTGTGTAAATAATAATAATTGTAAAATTAATAAAACATTACGTACGGTCCATTGTCGTTTTCCACCTTAGACTGAGAAGCAATAGAACTGTAATAAACAAAAAGAAACATTTGTAAATAATAAATAATAAATATCGTTAGCACAATTATTAAAAGTAGAGTCTCTCTAATAAGAGTCTGGCCAGCTTGCAGTTCAAGATATAAGAGAGAAAGAGAAAGCGATATACATTTACATATACATTCATATTGCTTTCTCTTCCTCTCTTATCTCTTTCTCTTACTGTTCTTTTGAGAAAAATGTATTTATAAATAAAATTATGTTACTTATTACAGGATGTCATTTTAATTGATGCAGGCAAATATCTCGAAAAATATAAAAGATATGGAAAAATATTTCAGACAAAGTTGTTTGCCTTAAAGGGGGACATATGATTCCGATGTGAGCCCTGTCGTAGATGTCGTTTTCAAGAAATTTCAAAGGCGATTAATTTCTTAAATATAAGTCGTCGAAAATTGAATACTTTACGAGATAGTTCATATTTTATATTAAATAAAAATATCATGACAAAACTTAAAATATCTCAAGAAATTCTTAAGAAAAGAGAGCTTTATTATTAGTGTTTCAAAAACGTCTCAACAAGATCTACAACTTTTATCTGAGGGAAAAAATTAAGTTCCATTTAAGAAATTAGTCGCCTTTGAAATTTCATGAAAACGACATCTACGACATGATTTACATCGGAATCTGTCTTCTTTTTTATTAGATTATCCTGCGCGCGCGCGTGTGCGTGCGTGCGTGCGTGCGTGTGTGTGCGTGTGTGTGTGTGTGTGTGTGTGTGTGTGTGCGCCTAGAGACAGTTGTTTATACTGGACCTTTTTGTTTTTCTAGCTGTACAGTCCTGGAAAAATTTAAGTCCTACGGCAATTTCGAGAATAATTTTAGAATGTGCCAACCGATGTGAGAGCGGATTTCAGGAATGTATCATACATCTAGAAAACAGAAAAGTCCAGGAAAGGGCGTCCAGCCACGCACGCACACACACACACGCACGCATACACATACACACGCACACACACACACGCACGCACATATACACACATACACACACACATGCAAAAGCAAGAAATTTCTAGCATAGCCATTCTTTCAAATTAAGTTCTAACTAACCTGTTTATTGCTGTCTTTTCATTCCCATCTCCTTCCTGCTGTAAAGAGGAAGAATAGCAGTTGTACCTAATTAAATTATTTTTATCAATACTAAGGTATTGTATTTGTTATAAATAATATTATGTATGCAATACTTACCGCCATGGCATCTTCTTATAACACAACGTGAACCGACAATTTCAGGTCCTGTGTAGCAGGTCATCATCCTATAAAATAAATGAGTTATATATATATATGCGGTATATTATATGTTATATTGGGTGCGTTCAGCCGATACTTCGCTAGCCTAGCTATCGTGAGCAGTCGCTCGTTTCCTCTCCTTTTAATCCATTCGGTCAAAGGAGAGGAAACGAGCGAAAACGAGCGACTGCTCACGATTGCTAGGCTAGCGGAGTATCGGCTAAACGCACCCATTCTTACGCGATGCGACGAGTTGCGAGTATCCGAGATTTTGAGATTAATTAAATGTATACTTACATTCATATTAAGTTGGTTGAGTTTATCCTCCATCATGCTTGAAAACGCTTGGTGACGAGGTATCAATGCAGCGTTCGCCGCGGCACTTGGTAGTTGCAGCAACTGAACTGACTCGAGGAGGAGGAAGAAGACGGTCTCGACGTCGAGGAACTGGTTCGAACGTTTGTGCTTGCGACGTTGAGACAGCTTGGTGGCGTCGACCACGCGCAATCGGAAATCCCCTCGCGATTGTGGGCTGACGAGGAACGAAGAACTGATGGTGGCTATACCGTATACCGTGCTACCAGTAATGGCCGATAGTCGAGGCCGAGCGGACCCGCGCTCATGTAGCGCTAATAAATCGTTTTTTGTTTTTAAAGGTCGATTTATAAA